ACGAATTCGTAGGTACCGGAAATTTCTTTCTTACGAATTCGTCCTAATTTACGAATTGGCAAAAGGAAGAAAGACGCAACTTTTTGGTTCGGTTTTGATCATTTTTGTTAGTTCGCATCAGTTCGCATTCGATTACGAATTCGCTACGAATTCGCAAAACAATGGTAAAATGCGAATTGTTGCATCATTTTTACGCCCAAAAATTGCGATTCGTCAATTCGTCTTTAGACACTTTGTCCACACTAATGGATATATAACATATTATTGGACCATTGATTCGTTGCATCACATGATCTATTAATTCTTGTAAAATTGAATTGGATGCTGTTGTTAAACATCCTCTATATAGTGATGGTTCCAGTTTTTTCATTGAACTGGCCCAATCGATGAGATAAACATTGTCATTATGTAAAACGATATTTTCTAATCTGATATCGCAGTGAATAATGCCAGTTTTGTGAGCTGAAATTAAAAAAATGTATCAGACCAAATCTTAGCCAATTGCAAGGTTAGAATTTCATATTTCATATTTCATCATTTTTTACAATTAAAGGGATAACTTCTACCATGATCTCGTTAATCTGAACGTGTAAGCTCCATCTTCTAAATGAAGTCATTGGCAGAATCTTTGCCACCAGATAGAAGCATAATCAGGAAATTGTAAGTGTCCTGGCAGCGCCTTACACGTTTCAAAAGTCGTGTAGTATGAATATGTGTATAAATCACTGATTCTAAAGGACCCCACCGGATAAGATTATAAATCTGGCCCTCCAACCTTATCTCAATCGTATACCAGAAGAAAGCTTACATGCTTCGGTTTATTTTTTGTTGGCTTTGACTTGAATAGAAAAAAAATTCCTGAAGTCATTCTCATTTGTGGTCATATATACACTACCGCCTATATAGCCATACATTGTGCCCTTCAGACTTTTTACATCAAACACTTCTTTCTAAGTTTTCACAATAGAAACAGATGTATCTTGCTTCGCTCTTTAAAATGCATCCTGATGATCGATACTCACCGTCTTTCTTCTAAAGAGATATAGGATTTTCCAGCTCCATTGGCATCAATTTTTTATATACACCCTCATACATGGTTCCAGTGCAATACCTATTTCTTTCACATACCGCAATGAACAAGAAAAGCTTTCTCAGAAACTGCGCTGTCACTCCCTCTACAAAATGCACTAGTTTCGATTAAAAAAAAAGTGGGCAAAAGTGACTTTGGAGATTCGGTTTTCCAGAAAACCAGTTTTTCAGAAACTCTAAAAAATAACTTAAACCTTTCTTAATAAAGCATAATTGTAGTTCACACATTTCTGATTAAAATGAGATATCTCCTGGCTCTACATGACCTTTCTTTGCAAAGTTATAGACTTTACAAGAAAAGCCCGAAATCGATTTTTCCTTTTTTCTTTTTGTAGCTTTTTCTTGAGCTGATAATGAAGATTTCGGGCTTTTCTTGTAAAAACATATGGCAAGAATTTATGAAAAAAGTAAATGCTGGAATTTTGTTCATATATTGTCCTCATGGCTCTTAGACTGTATTGAAAGTTTCAGTCTCGATTAACCTACAAGCATAGGTACTCTAATATTTCGCTTTTTGAACGAATTTTACATGCGAAAAATGAATAAGATACGTTTAAACATATACATTCATTATATAATCTGCGCCAGCTCCCAATATACTACAGTGACGAACGATGTAATAAGCAGAGATGCCGAAAGTAAACATCCCACGTGCATTTAATTCACAACGTCCGTAGCAGAAACACAACCCTTCCTAACATTAATACAAATAAAGTATCCATCACAAGCAGAATTTTTCTCTATTCCTTTAATATTCCTTTATTTTTCTTTTCTATTCCTTCCTCTAATATTTCTCTGTTCCTAAATTAAACTGCTACTTTTTTGATTAAAAATGGCTATATAATGCTTCGGAGTTCATACCTAAATTCACTTGCTTCCAAATATCAGATAAAGTTTTTCTTTCTAAAAATTTAGCTTTGTCCATTCGCACACCGATTTCGTTTAATCCAATTAAATAATCATTCTTATTCACTGGTAATGCGACAGTTGATATTATATTAATATCATGTAAATTTGAAATAAATTTTTCTTTATGTAATTGCTCAATAACCTCGTATTCGTATTGTGATTTGTCACGTGATACTTTTAATACATAACAGCTATCACTACCGCGATTACAACATTTGAATGCAAATGATGAACTACCCCGGCCAATCCAATCCTGAATAATTATCGATTCATATGGAAATTTAAAACAATTATTAACACCTAACTGCTCAGCTGTTAACGTTAGATGTAATGATAATATTTCAAATGAATTTAATCCTTCGAGATTTTCTTGTTCACACATAGATGCGATATACGTAAACTTATTATCCGAATTTATCGATACTTTTATAATACTTGTTTGATTGAAATTCGTCAAACACCCAATAATAAAAGTACGACCAGGAGAATGGCGTAGTACTAATGATAAATAAGTTGCTAACTGATTATAATTGGTGTTCTTTAATTCCCGTGTTTTTAATTCTAATACAGAAACAATGTTAAATGGTAAAAATGACGTATCAATTAGATTTTCTTCATTTAAACTATTCAACCATAACATGTCGGGGCGCAAATCATTAAACAAACCTCGAAATGCCAGTCCCTTGTAATTACATGTGTCAACTATCAAGCATTTTCCAGGTTTATAATGTTCAATGAGAAATGATTCAAATGAACTAGTTAAAGCAGGTTCGGACATCATCTTGATTGTTGTGTTTTTATGATTAGAATCTCTTTGATGTGGACGATAAAAAGATTCGACCTTAATAGCTAATCTTCTACTTTGTTCATTTACCATTTGTTTAATATTAACAACGTTAAATATTCTTCTTAATGGACACCATATTATGTCTGAATTTAATGAATTTGAACTAGAGTGTGTACCAGTTTCACTTGGTTCATTGATCAGCTGGTTACTATTAGACATAACAAATCTGAAATTAAAGACTCTTCATTAAGCATATTTGATTCTCTATTTTCAACAAGCCAAATAGCACCTAAAATAGTGTTACAGCTTAGGTAATTACGTTAGGCATGCAACGGTATGGGTAACCGTTCCTCACCGGCAATCATTCTGCCTGTGACAATTCTGGAGAAGCTAAACAAAATCTGCTGCGAGAGAGGAATCACCAACCTGTGCTGACTCCACAAAAGTCTGTACACTATTTTTACAGCTTTTCTTCGATGCTCTTTCCAATGGAATGGTTTTTGTTTTGAAAAGATTTCCTAGGTAGCTTTCTAGAGATCCGATCTCTAGAAAACCATCATAAACACCATTTGAGAGCTGAAAAATCATTCACACAAAAAAACCTATAGAAGTATTTTGATGCTTTAATCTCCTTTTTGGTTCAAAATTCTAACACTTTGATAAACTTCTCTGTAGACAGATGCCAAAACCTTAAAATCGAATTAAATTCAAAACGTTTCGCACAAGAGCAGATAAGTTAGATAGCATTCGATTCAGTTTTTTGCGCTGATTCCAATACGGTATTCGTTTTCAATCTAGATGTTTCTGAATCGAGAAAATTTTGCTTTTCTCAAAAACCGAGAGGTTCTTGGGAAACCAATATATTAGACCAGTCAAAAAATTGCATAAAGTTGCATGCACTGTAGGGCACAGTACCAAGAGAAACATTTGATGTTAATTTGAACCTTATCAAAGTTCAAAAAATTTTGAAGTCCATTGCACTGGAAACGTAGTTAGGAAAAGGGTTTTTCCTGGCAATTGGATGAATTTTTATGCGCATTTCCCAAGATAAAGGAAACTTTCTTTCAGCATCAGATAGCTGGCATTTTTCCGCCCCAGAAAATGTCAGAACAAAGTACGTTGATCGCTTTCTTCGAAATACGATACAAATACTATGAAAAACGCGCTAATTTCAATGTTATTTTCCTATTCCCCTAATTTTCCAAAAAAAAACATGTCATCACTAAATCGCGGGTCGCTTGAATTGTATATCACGCCATTCAAAACTCCAAAAAGTTTACCTACGATTTTTCGTCAAACTTCCGCGTATATACCCACGGTGACTGGGTACTTGTGAAGGTGATATTGTATCGCTCTAAAATGTTAATATCATTAGAATGAAAATAATAATGAAACCGTTTGAATATATATGTCAGCGTCCAAACTCGGATTCAGGCCAATCCAGGATTGGCCTAGGCGAAATTAAGAAATAATGACATTGGACTATGATTTACCAACAGTTATTATTGAGGGTGATAATAGTGCTAAAAGCGATAGATCTACAACCGACCCACGTGAGGATAATGATAGTAGCAACGATAACAGGGAAAAAACATTCAATGCTAAAGTTGAAGATTATAAAAATGGTTTGTCATTATCAATGAGAGAAAAATCAATGATATCATATCGGTATGCTAGTAGAATTATTAATGCGATAAAGTTGATCGAACAAATATTGACGCAAAAATACTGCCGTGTCTTATTATTGAAAAAGAAGTAATCGTGTAAAAATTGCATGTTGTTTTGGAATTCTCGAACATTGGTATCCAATTGAACAATTAATTAGTTTATCTGCTGTTCGACAAGATCTGGTTGATTTAAAAACTGATGGTATGAAAAACATTTCAATGATAACAGCTTCAAAATTGTATGTTCGAGGTGCTACAAATGGTGTTACATGTTCATGCAAAGGAGGATGTAAAAATAAACAATGTG